AAAAAAAAAAAAAATCAGAAAACCCAAATGCCCGTCAGTAGCAGGACAGAAAATTGACATACACATTTTTTTAGTACACTGAAATATTACACAATAGTTAAATGAACTTGACTTACATATTTTATTATGAATAGATCTTAGACGTACTGTCGCATGAAAAAAACCAAACTGTACATGTTATGTACCCTATGAAAAAACAATTTGTGGGGCACCTGGGTGGCTCTGTCAGTTGAGCGTCCAACTCTTCGGTTCGGCTGGAGTCATGATCTCACAGTTGTGAGACTGAGTCCCATGTTGGGCTCTGGGCTAATGGCATGGAGCCTGCTTGGGATTCTTTCTCTCCCTCTCTCTCTGCCCCTCTTGTGCTTGTTCTTCCTCTCTCTCAAAATAAATAAATAAACTTTAAAAAGTAAAGAATTTGTTGGACACATAAAGTTGGCATTGTTTATGGATATATGGTGTGATAAAAATATTAATAAAAAAGAAAGACTGAAAGGACACATATGAAGAGTAGTTGTCTCAAAAGAGTATCAGTTGATACTGCAAAGGGGAACAAAACGGATTTCAGTGTGAGCTGTAAAATCCTATTTCTTTTATTTTTAAATATCTCAGGAAAAAAATATTCAGGGCCCATCTTCTTCCCACCTTTCCAACACCAGAGACTTAAAAAACATACCTTTTGCTAAATCTTCTTCTTCTTTTTTGTTAGCCACAGTACCAGGGTCTTTGGCAACCAGGGCTGGGCTTGCTTTTGCTTGTTCTGCAGCCTAACACAAAAAAAGGAAGACAATGTTTGCAGAATGTTCTCGAATTTTCCTATCTACACTTAATCTAAGAACTTGCAAGACCATTCTTATCAATCTACCACAGACTTCTGAAGAAGAAAATAATCCAGAGGCGCCTGGGTAGCTTAGTCGGTTAAGCATCTGACTTTTGGTTTTGGCTCAGGTCCATGACCTCGCAGTTTGTGCGATCCGAGCCCTGTGTCAGGCTCGGTGCTCGACAGCACAAAGCCTGCTTGGGATTCTCTCTTCTCTCTCCTCTCTCTCTGCCCTTCCTCTGCTCCTGCTCTCTCTCAAAAAATGAACAAACATTAAAGAAGATTTAAATAAAAAAAAAAGAAAGAAGAAAATAATCCAAACCGTAGCAGCCTCCACTTTGAAAGGAGATGTGGAACTGGAGGAAAGAAATGGAGAGCAACGGGATACTGAGGGCTGCTAAAAGCAGACAGGATGCAAACGAGCCAAGAAAGACCAGAGGAGATGTAAAATTTTTTAGAAAAATTCTGAAACCAGAAAATGGGTTGAGAAAGTGAAGGAGACGTCTATTTTGAAAACAAATAGTTTTTAAAATTTTAAGCTATTTAACAGTTATATTTTATGGCTTCCTGCCCGGTTAAAAGGCAGGATGTTATCCTCAGGAATAGAAATTTACATGTAACAATATAATGCTCATAAAATTATACTTTTTTGTAAACTAAAATACAAGTAGTTAATTCTGACAGCATATTCCAGTTACCAGGAACTGCCAGCATACACACACACACACACACACACACTTACATGCCTTTGACAAAGATTTGTTTCTGCTTATAAAGTCCTCCCCTCTGGCTCCTTTTACTTGATCAACATTGTTCCTATTGAGTTTTAACTTACCAGTCCGTAAACAGCTAAAATAATCCCTTTCTCGATGAAATATTCCTAAACCGCTAAATTAAGCATCCTCTTCTCTGTTCCTCTGATAGTATTTTTACCAAGGTACTATGCTATAGGTAGTTAAGAACGTAAATTTTAGAGTCAGGGAAACATGGGTTCAAATTCTAAATCCACGAGGTTCTAATGAATGACCTGGGGTACATTAAACTCTTTGTATCTCAAGTTCCTTATCTACAAAATGAGGGTAATAATAGCAACTAGATAGGTTTGAGAGAATAAAGTAACGTGTAGCTTCCAAACTCAGATAGGATGAGGGCCACCAATGATGGTTTAAAACAAAAAGTATAACATTCTCTCTTGGGATTTATAATGTACATAGAGGTAATCTAGGTCACGGGTACGGTAATTATTGCATAAAGAATGATGAAATGAAGGATAAACCCTCCACAGATGCAACATTTCTACAGTTTACATGAAATAATACAATGTTTACTCAAAATACACTGTGAACAGTTATAAAGGTATATTAGAATACCCAAAGCAACCACCACCAACAAAAATGGAATTCTTATAAGTATTCAAATTAACACATGTACAGCACATAGATTAGTGCCTGGCACTAGTAACAGTTAGTAAATCTCAGCTTCTGTTATAATTATCTGCTTATATCTGTCTCCATAACCATGCTATATATTCCCTAAGAATATGTGTGCCTAAATACTGATGACAATAAAGAAACATTTGTTTAGTAAATGAAAGGCAAAATATTCAATATAACGGGTAAAATACAGTTATAGATATATAGTTATACAGTTCCATATATACATAACTGTATTTTATACTGTAAAACAAATGCACAAAGCATTTATTTTTAGAAAAGCGGATACTAAAAAGCTTTTTGTAGTTCACTGAATGCAACTTCAAGCACTCAATTCTGATCCATCTCTCCATGGAATTTTTTTTTAGATATTAAGGTTTTAATCAACACATATCTCTGAAAATTAAAGGTATGCTTCCTCAGAATGTCCTTTTCAATTGCATATGAATTTTTTTCAGTTTGGTGAATTTCACAAAATAGACCTATTGATCTTTTATTGTCTGTGAAGTAATCTCTACCAATCAAGAAGAAAGTGCAGACAATAGATTCAAAGTGCTAAAAGGAAACAAAATACAGCTAAGTATACTGTACTTGGCAAGATTATCATTCAGAATTGCAGAAATGATGAGTTTCTCAAATAAGCAAAAAGCTATGGGAGTTTCATAACTTGAAACAAGGGTTTCAAAGAAATATTAGAAAGACTGCTTTATGGGGAAAAGACCATAACTAGAAATAAGAAAATATGTGAAGGAAAAATTACAATGATAAAGGAAAACACATAGCATGGGTTACTGACAAACCGCTAATAAAGCTAGTATGAAGATTATAAGACAAGAGTAATAAAGTCAACTATATTCATAATAATTACTTAAGGGACACACATATAAAAAGATGCAAAACATGACATCAAAAACAAAATGTGAGGTGAGAGGAATAAAAATGTAGCGCTTTTAGAACGTGTTTGAGCATAAGCAACCACCAACTTAAAATAATCTGCCATAAATACACAGGTTGTCATAAATGAACCTCATGGTAACCACAAACCAACATCCTATTAACAGATACACAAAAAGTAAAGAGAAAGCAATCCAAACAACACTAAATAAAGTCATCAAATCACAAGGGAAGAGACCAAGAGAAGAAAACTACAGAACCACAAAAATAACCAGAAAACAATGAACAAAATGGCAATAAACACATACCGATCAACAACTACTTTAAAAGTAAATGGACTGAAGTCTTCAATCAAAACACAAAGGGAGGTTAAATGAATAAAAAACCAAAACTCATTAATAGACTCACTTGAAAACTAAAGGTATATACACTGAAAATGAAGGGACAGGAAAATTTATTTCCACGTGAATGGAAATGAAAAGAAACCTGGGGCAGCATTAATTATATCAGACAAAATAGGCTTTAAAACAAAGACTGTAAGAAGAGGGAAAAAAAGGCATTACATAATGATGATGAGATCAATGCAACAGAAAAACACTTATAAATATTTATGCACCCAACATAGATGCACCTAAATACATAAAATGAGTATTAACATGCAAATTGGAAGAAAATGACAGTAACACAGTAATAGTAGGGGGCTTTAAATACCCACTTACATTAACGGACAGATCATCCAGATAGAAAATTTAATAAAGAAACAATGGCCTTAAACGACACATTAGGCCAGATGGACTAAATAGATATACACAGAACATTCCATCTTCAAACAGCAGAATACAGATCCTTTCAAGTACACACGAAACATGCTGCAGGAGAGATCATGTTAGGTCACAAAATAAGTCTCTGTAAATTTAAAACGCATGAAATTTTCTGAAGCACCTTTTCCAACCATAATGATTGGAAACTAGAGATCAATTGCTAGGAAAAAACCGTAAAAAACAAACAAGTGAAGACTATACAACATGCTACTAAACAACCAATGGGTCAATAAAGATATCAAAGAGAAAATAAAAAAAACACCTTGAGACAAATGAAAATGAAAATACAATGTTCCAAGATCTGTGGGACTCAGCAAAAGCAATACCAAGAGGAAAGTTTGCAATAATACAGGACTACCTCAAGAAACAAGAAAAATCCCAAAGAAACTAACTTTACATCTAAAGGAACTACAAAAAGAATAAAACCCAAAGTCAGTAGAAGGAAGGAAAAAAAAGAGCAGAGCAGAAATCAATGAAGTAGACACTAAAACAATAAAAATGATCAAAGAAACTAAGAGCTGGTACTTTGAAAAGATTACAAAATTGATGAACCATTATTCAGAATCATCAAGAAAAAAAGAGAGGACTCAAATAAATAAAATCAGAAATGAAAGAGAAGTTACAACCCATATCAGAGAAAGACAAAGGATCCTAAGAGACTACTATGAACAATCACATGTCAACAAGGTGGACAAGCCAGAAGAAATGGTTAAATTCTAAGAAACATACAGTCTTTCAAAAGTACAAGAAGAAGAAACAAAATCTCAAAAAATGATTACTAGTAATGAAAATGAGTCAGTAATCAAAAGCCTCTCAACACACAAAATCCAGGACCAGACTTCCACAGCTGAATGTCTATCACACACTCAGACTTAACAGCGTCCTTCAGAAACCATTCCAAAACACTGAAGACTAAGGAATGCTTCCAAACTCATTTCACAAGGCCAGCATTACCCCTGATAGCAAAACCAAATTGGCAAATCAATTCAACAATACATTATTAGTATCATACACCACGATCATGCAGGCTTTACTCCAGGGATGCAAGGATAGTTCAATATCTGCAAATCAATCAACATGATACACCACATTAATACAATAAAGGATAACAACCACATGATCATCTCAACAGTAGCAGTGAAAGCATCTGACAAAATTCAACATTCTTTTAAGATAAAAACTTTCAGCAAAGTGGGTATAGAGGGAACATACCCTAACATAATAAAGATCATATATGACAAACCCATGACTGACACCACACTTAGTGCTGAAAAGCTGAAAATATTTCCTCTAGGATCAAGAACTAGATACGGAAGCCCACTCTTGCCACTTTATTATTCAACGTATTGTTGGAAGTCCTAGCCACAGCAATTAGGCAAGGAAAAAAAAAAGGGGGGGGGGGGTGCTCTGCACCTTCTCATTTGGCACAGTTGCATCTTCTTATGATTTGCCAACCACAACCCTGAGACATGATGGTGAATGTTGGAGTAAATGAATTTGGCTGTATTAGGCTTCTGGTCACCAAAGCTACTTTTAACTCTGGCAAAGTGGATACTGTTGCCATCACTGACCCCTTCACTGAATTCAACCAAGTGGTATACATGTTCCAGCATGATTCCACCTATGACAAATTCAAAGGCACAGTCAAGGCTGAGAACAGGAAACCTGTCATCAATGGAAAGCCCATCTCCTAGGAGCAAGATCCCACCAACATCAAATGGGACGATACTGGTACTGAATACATTGTGGAGTCACCTGGGGTCTTCACGACTATGGAGAAGGCTTGGGGCTCACTTGAA